CGATGTAATATATAAAGAATTCGGAGGCTATCATATGCCCCTCTAGCCACCCTATTGTGCCTAACTATTCGAGGATCGCCCTCACTACCGAAAAACTGGCTAGAGGGGGATTCAAACTCATGATCTGAGGAGACTTATGACCTTCAAAGAGGCTGCTCTACCAACAGGTCACGGTTGGCGGCACGACTACCTTGTGATTTTACACACACACACACACAATATAAATATTATATATATATATATATATATATATATATTCTTTAACTACGTATAGTTAAATTCTCATTTATTGCATACCATCTTATTCTCTTGTCTATCCTTGTAATATATTTTTTTAAGTTAGATAGGTGTTTGAGAATTTATTTTTTCTTCAATATTAGGATGAGAAGAGAGGAGAGTAGAAATGAGAGATTTTAGTACTTATTTTTATTTTCCTTTTGTATGTTAAAAGATTGTAAGAAATGGTATGTAAATAACAGTATAAACAACTATTTAAAAGAGACAAATTTTGAAATTTGTCTTTAATTGAGGAATCTAGATATAACTGCACGATAGAAATTAAATATTGTGATCCACGGATTGCTATCTTATTAATTAGGGTGCTTGCCTTACATCTTTTACTCTGCGGACCCTTCCTCTCTAGTAGTTTGTGCAGTTATTTATTTGTTTTGTAGTTTTAATGCATTATTAACAACAAGATAAAATACCAAAGATTTTTAGTTTTGCTCTTCCGGTTTCTTGCTATTCCATTTAAATTTTTTATTTTATGAAATATTATAATTCTTTTGGTTTCTTCAAATGCATAAAAGCTGAAGTTCAAATCCCTATATTTGTTTTTTATTTAAGCTTACTTGTATACCACTCAATTCTTATGTGTTTAGATATCTAATGGCACCTAAACTTTAATTTTTACATATTTGTTACCTTAATAATGCATGAAAAAGGTGTATTTCACTTTTCTAAGTGAAAATGGTGATACTTTTGATGTTGTATGAAAGATTTGGGTGGTATAAATGTAGAAAAGCAAAGTTAAGACGTTAGGTATGTAAAACATAAGAATCGGGTGGTTTGTATGTAAATACCTCTTGCTTTTTTTGTTTTGTCAACGGGTATGATTAAATTATTTGATCCTTACTCCTTTTTCAAAAAGGCAGCAACATACCTTTTGTTTTTTGTTCTTTATATGGAAAAAGTCAAAATCATATGAAAGATTACGGTGCTTCCCGAATTGGCTAGCCGATGCTTCTTTCCTGTTCTTCCCGTTCTTTTGAAGTCAGCGTGGTCCTCTTCACTTTACTGAAGTTATGTTTATTCATTAGTAAGTTTTTAGTACATATAATTTCAGTTTCTCTGGCCTAGGCCCATGGATTCACAACCCAACAAATCTTTTTTGGTGCCAAAAAAATGAGAAACTAATCTCATCTCAATTTTTTACATCGACATGATCAAATCATT